ATATCACGATACAAATTGGTCTGTCATGTTAGGAACATCTACGCAAGTGAGATGCTGGCAAAATTCTTCATTGTAATCATTAATCAAATGATTGCCCTGACGGAGATTTTGGAAACGTTGATAGAACGTGCATACATAATTGTACGACAAAAATTCGCATTCCACATGTTTACAGAACTTTGCCCGCGTCGCGACCTTTAACTTTCCTTGGCGCTATCGTGCCTGATTGAAGTGCTGCCATGAGGCGGCAACCCGTCCCGCTAGTCGTGTCGCCACCAACCGTATACACTGACCATCTGACACATCCTTGAAGTCGAGGTTAGACTCGATCTCCCCAATCAAGTCCAAAAACTCGGCAGCATCAACATTGCCCAAAAGTTCAAGAATGTCAACCCAAAATCTAGCCTACCAAATGCCACTCTTTGGAGAATTCTCATCATCCCGTGCTGCAAGCGCGCCATCGAAAGAATTGACCATGGAGACGGTGTAACGCCTCGATCATTATTATATTATTAAAACAATTTCACTACTCGACTTTAAGTGAAATTTGTAATTTTCAGAATTTTCTGAGTTATGTTTTATATGCTAAATGCTCAATTATGTTAGATTATTCTTTGAAATTTTCTATGTCAAGTTAAGGCCAAGATCAATCCGTTAATTTGGATTGATAAGTGATATCTATTCAGCTTTAGAAATATTTAGCTTCGAACCCTAGTTTCGTTCTGAGTCATTTTCCAGGTCATTTCCGAGCATAGGCGAGCCTTGGTATCTTGATACTTAGAATATTTTCTAAGTGTATTGAAGAATCTAAGTTCAAGTCTTGGATCCTCATTCTCGAGGCTAGCATCTACCCGAGCTGCTCGCGCCCAAGGGTCCCGAGCCGAGCCTAAGGCATAGCCGAGTCATGTCCTATGCTTTGTTGAGTATTGGACATGTCCTTAGATATATTCTAAGTGTTCAAGCATCAAAATTCAGCTTTGGTCAAGGTATCACACGAGCAGCCCGAGCAGACCCCGCGCAGCCCAAACCTCGCGCCCAGCTGGCGCCCTGGCCCAGTGCCGCGTGCAGCCCAGACAGCGCCCAGGGCCCAGCAGCGCCCAGGCCCAGCATTGGCAGCGCACAAGTCCACTTCTAAGCCCAATTCTTGAAGTTTCAGCCCATTTTCCTCAAGACCCAAGAGCTGCATGTGTTAAGGACTTAATGAGGATTAATTCAAGCTAAGATGGCCCTAAGTAATGTTTATGAAAGTCAACTTAGCATGGGTGCAAAGTGGGTGCATGTGCATAGTATTATTTTATTCCATAGTGGAGTCTTTGTCCCCTTGTCTTGGACCCGACCTGACCAGTGACCAGAGTACTTGTTCCGTGTTCATTATACTCAAGAAATGCACCAAGATGCCCTCCAAAACCGTGCGAAGTCAAGTCCCAAGACCAGCCCTAAGTTCCATGCACCTAAGTGGAGGAATCCCACTCTTTATGGTCTTCTTTGACCAAGCATAGCAACCTCCGCCCTCCCAGCTATATAAGGTTTGTTCTTCAGCTATGTTGAACTCATTTGACACTTAAAAGCTCGAGCAATACTTAGAGAAGTCAGATAAAAACTGAAGAGAGCACCACAGCCTCTTACCGCGCGCGCACAAGGCCGAGAAGGAAGCTCACTGAGGTCCAGCTTGCTCCAGCCGATTTTCTCCGAAGCTCACATGTTTCAAAGCATTCCTAGGATTATTCTAAGCTCCCTCACTCGTTCAAGCCCGACCGTTTCCACCCCGAGCCAAGTCCTAACCCTCAAAGCCGCGAGCAAGCCCTAGCAAGGCCCTAGTAGCCATTTTTCATTTTCGGTGAAGGTTAGCTCGAGCTATCTTTTTTCCTCAGTCTATTCATGATATTTTAGGATTTTTGTTGTGACCATTTTTGTTACATTTTTCTGTACTATTTTGTCGTTCATTTTCCCCCGTTTTAGGTCTATTTGTTAGTTTTTAGTTTATTTTATAGTTTATTGTGTGTTTTGTTCTATTTTGGCTTTTTATGTGTTTTTCGTGTATTTTGTCGTTTTTCTACGTTTTTCTTCTTGTTTTTAGTGTGCAGGTCGGAAGCCCTGTGAGGAATTGATTTAGCTCGAAAACGAGTCGGAAAATCATGGTTGGATAGATGGGTTCCTTAGCTACACATAGGAAAAGGCGGAATCCAATTTCGAGTTCAGAAGAATCTGAACAGGCTGAAAACGCGAAGTCACGCGAAACACGTCTTTGGTGTGCTGGTCATAAGATTTTTGAGAATAGGATTTCAAGAATAATTTGGCTATGCAAGCATCATTGATTAGAGGGGTTCGTTAGCGACGCGTAGGAAAAAACAGAACTCAATTCCGAGTTCGGACGAGCCCAAAACGTAAAGCCGCGCAATGCAGTCCAGTTTTCTTCACCGCGGGCAGCGAGTCATTTTCTGCCTAGAAAAGTCGCAGCCGCGGAGCTCTTCGTCACGGCCAGCGAGATTCGCCACGGGCAGCGGAACCTGTGAGTTGCTGAAATTGTGGCTTTTCCTCATTTTCTTCCACTTTTCTCCATGTTTTGAGCAACTTTCACCACCATGTTTTGAGCACCTTTCTCCATATTTTCCTCCATGTTCCCTCCATGTTTTGTGGCTTGAATGGTGAAGGAAAAAGATGGACAATTCACCTATAAATATGGCATGGTTTTGGACAAAGGAGGAGACAACTCCATAGAGGCGTTCTTCCCCTCTTTTCCCTCTCCTCCTCCTTCTTCTTCTTGTATTTTTCTTTTGGTCTTGTAGATGAAGCTTTGTAATTGGATTCAACATTGGGATTAATTGTAAGTTTTCTCTTTCATTAATTCATGAAAAATGATTAATTTAGGAGAAATGTTTTGTTGTGTTGAATTTGATATGAGTAGTTAATCCTTTAGCTAGGGTTAGGGGATAATTATTTCGGTTTGTTCTCATTTACGTGCATGTCGATAGCTCAATCTTGACGAGTTGTTTTAATTATGAATTGATAAAATCATACTTGATAAATTGTTATAACCTAAGAGTGACACTTAGGTTAATTTGTTGATATAATCAAAGAGTGACACTTTGATTTATGATTAAATATTGATTTGTTAAGTTATAGTTTGTTAATTCTACGAATTGTGACTTGTAGAACCGAAAGGGGAGGAGTCGTAGAGATAATCGATTTCAAAACCGAGAGGGAGAAATTGGTGGAATTTGGCTCGTTTAGAGTAGACATGTTTGGAGACGTATTGTCTATGTGTTAATTGTTTCGTTAATTTGCTCTTTTATGTTTATGCTCATATTACGAGAGTTAGAGAGGTTAAACTGCTAAATGAGTTAGTTAGTCGAACCATTTAACCGAGTTATTGATTGTCACTAAATGTGTGTAGAACAGGAAGCGATTATTCCCGATGCCCTAGCTCGTCTATCTTTTTATCGTTTATATTTTTAGGTAGATTATCGTCTTTTGTTATTTCTTAGTTGACAATATTCCAACCTATCGTGATTAGAATGTGTAGGATTTATTTTGCTTTTATGAGTTATCGATACCACTTCTAAATTCCGAACTGTCTTCCTCGAGAGATCGACCCAGGAAACGAATCATTAGATTCGGTGCTCGGTAAAATAAAAAATAATTTGGTACAACAATTTTTCATGAAGAAAAATCAAGCCATGCACGTGAATTTTCATGAGTTTCAAATTTTAAGAGTTAAATGCCTTAAAATCGAATTTTTAGTTGCATGCATGACTAAGTCAAGTTTGATAGCTTAATCCTCCTCGTTTATCATGATATTGTTGGTGTATAAATTTGAGCATGTTTGGAGTTCGTTTGTTCGGTCAACTTGTTAATGAATTTATGCCATTTTTCACTCCCGAGCCATAATGTTGTGCATGCGAGTAAATGCTATCTTTTCAGCCTCATTAGTCATGTTTTATGCTTCTTAGTACTCGCCATTTATCATAAGTTCAAGAATGAGTAGTTGGTTCAGTGACTTAGTGCTCGTACGTGCCTTATCAGCCCTACAGAGCTACATGCATGTTGACCCGAGGTCTCCTAGCATTTTCTTGCATTTTTATGTCTATTTCATCATTTTAAGTTGATATATGTTGCATGTCCCTAGTAAAGTTGCCAAATAGTCGAAAAATGGCCGGTCATGGTCACTAGTCGCGCAAACCGTGCGTGCAGTGCCGGCCCCGTGTCTACCCGCGCCTCCCACGCCCTTCAGAGGCTAGGTCTTGCCTCGCACAGCAGCAAGTGCACGCAACCGCGCCCAGCAGCGCACGTCCGTGCCTGCATGCGCGGTAAAAGGCACCAGCCGTGCCTAAGCCGCGTGCATGGCGCCCGGCAGCGCCGTGCCAAGCCCCAGCGCATGAGGCCTCGCGCCAGAGCCTCGTACCGCGCGCACCAGTCATCCCCGAGACGTGCCAACAGCACGCCCGAGTGCCCAGACCCTCAGGTACGCGCAGCAGCGCCCCGACCGCCCGGTTTAGCCCGAGCCGGCGGTCCGGCCAGTCAGCGAACCGGCCGGTTCAACCGGCGGTTCGTGCCTAGATTTTTGGGTCGTGGGTTCCGATCCGAGTTTTATTCCAGACTTTAAGAATTTTTTCGAGCCAAACCCGCCAGTTTAAGTATGCCAATTGTAAATTCGGACTTAGTATATTTTTTAAGCGAACCCTTAGCACAGTCTATTTCATCTGGTAAATGAGCATATAGAACCGAGCATCTTAGCATATAATTAAATGTTCTGAGCATAATACTTGGCATTATTCTGCTTATATGTTTATGTAGCCTAAGGAGAGTTGAGCCTCCGACCGCTACTTCAGTTTCAAGCACTTGCGTCAGATTTTCAATATACCAAGTGGGAGCCTTTACAAGGCATTACGTTGCGCATTTCAGTTATCCTGTATAAGGTACGTGAGTAGGTAATTACCCAAACGGTTGAATTATCCCGTTTGTGGTCCAGTTAGTTCTCCCAGGATTTGGAGGCCGAGGGCCTTAATATTCCAATCGGGGTGTGCACACGAGCGGCCGAGGGCCGAGGGTCTTTTGACCACAGTTATAGAAAATAAAGGAAAAGAAAAGTTTATAGTTTCATCTCTTATATATTGAAGCCATGATATAGTGTATTATTGATGCTGTCTTATTCAGTACTGGTCTTGCGGAGATGTGGGGGTCATGTACTGGATTCCACATCATCTCTAATTACCTTTCCATGACTGAGGTATGTTCGAGACAGTTAGTTCTCCCAGGATTTGGAGGCCGAGGGCCTTAATATTCCACCTGGTACCCGATGGAGGCCGAGGGCCTTAATATTCCAATTGGGGTGTGCACACGAGCGGCCAAGGCCGAGCAAGGGTCTTATGACCAAAGTTAAAGTTTAAGAAAAGTTTACAGTACAGTACAACTTATTTATTTTATGCTGCTTTTTAAGTTATTGTTTACAGTTAAGATTATTCCAATTCCAGTATCCCACGAGTATGCAGATGTGCTCACACTCCCACAGTCTTCTCTATTTCAGGTGACGAAGTCCAGCGTGCTGGGTGAGTAGACGTGGCAAGTGTGGTCATGAGCAGTGGACATTTTTATACACATCTTATGTTTCAACATTTATGAACATGTAATAATTTGTAATATGTATGTGTGTATTATGTATTATTCAGTTAAGCTTCCGCTAAACTAGAAAGTGCGAGATAGGCGAACCTGCATGTGTGATTCCATTATCTCCACAGTCGATTGATTTGTTTGCATGTTTTTATTAAGTAAGATAAGAAAGTTTTCGTAGCATCCCGCAAGTAAGAAATTATTTTCGAAACCCAGCTCGCACGATATTTCAAAAATAAAAGCGATAATTTAATTCTGATTTTCAAAGCTAGTAAGGCGGGGTGTTATAGACGGTGTCATCTCCATCTTTGTCCTTGACATACGATAGAGGCAAGTGGGACAGGGACGCACCGCTTTGACCCCGACCGCCGCACCCGCTGCGACTCCCTCCATAACTACCATGTTCTACGTCAGACGCGTAGTTAATGTGAGCATTCTGGTCAGTGGCAGCCTGAGCCATTTGAAAATCCTCCATCTCCTCAATTAGCGCTGCGACATAACATCTCAATGCGATCTTGGCATCGCGTCTGATGTCCGTAGCTTTGTTCCATTTGGACGACATGGCTTAGGTGTTGGGATTGGTGAGGATCTTGTTATGCACAAATCACGAATTCAATAGCAACAATAAACCTATGCGCAACGGTTCTAGAGGTTTATAGTTGAATACTTATAGCTTAAAATTGTAGACTCTAAGTCGTTGTAGATTACCGTTAAAGAAAATCATCTGAACTCAAAATCTGTTGGGCAGCCGAATTCTTTTCATGGGACTCGAGAAGTTGTTAGGTGCGTCGGCCGAGAACACACGGGTGTGTCGGGTCACCAGGAGCAGCTCGTGCGACGTTGCGGGTTGCGTGCGGTGGTCGCTGAGCGTGCGAGGAAGTCGCGGGCTGCGGGCTACGACGTTGGGCTGCGGCTCACATGCGGTAGTGGCGTCTCGCGGTCGTTGGCTGCGGCGGTGGGCTGCGGCTCACAGCGGTCGACGGCTGGTCAGCAGTGGTGGTCGGCCGGCAGTCACGGGGGTTGATCATCGATTGGTAATCACGGGGTCTCGGTACCACGGGATCTTCTACTGTATATCTCAAACACCTCTTTGAATTGTACTGGTGGAACAACAAGATGAAGATGGGATTGAGACACACACATGACCTAATGTGCAAGACGTTGGCCGCCTCCCCTCTCTCTCTATAAAAAACTTGCTCGCTAATTCCAACCCAGAACAGATCGCAAGCTGGGCTGGGAGAAGTCGATTTGAAAATTTTTTCCGAGTTAGTAGCTATGAAGCTGCTAACTCGAAAAATTCTTTGAGCCTGCAACGTGTCTGTGGGTGAGTTAATGGATCGCTCCAGTTCATTGTCTTTTCATCTCATCACAATGGGTGTGTGTTGCCACCTATGCTTCAATCATCCTCTCTAGCTTCATCCTGGTGACCAAGATGAGTGGCATGAGAGGATTAGGCCTGGTTTCCATGCAAATCGGGCTTGTATCCTTCTCACGGGCAAAGGACCCATCACTCCCCTCAACGACCTTTGTGACAACAGCTCTTGACGTTGTTGAGATGGGTTTTTCAACCCGCCTTTCTAGATCGGATAAAGTGGGTCCCTTGCTAGCATCCCCTGCAGATGCGAGACTTCGTTGATCAGGGCTCTCGACAACTTCTTGTAGGAAAGCCACCCGAGAGGCGGCCACGGGCCAAGAGGTCGCGCCTGTAGCCTGGTATCGTCAACAACTTTCTCTATGCAAAATCCTTCTCTTTTTGCCATTGATGTTGGCAGGAATCTCGTGCGAATTGTGAAAAAAGCACCATTCCATTCAATCTTAGTAGAGTAGGGTTTCCCACAGATGACACCAATTCGAGGGATCTACTAAATAACTCTGATTTTAGGTTACCGGTCTTCTTTAGATATTCAAATTAGCCTGAATTGCTCATCAGAATACTTGAAAAAGCGTTAGGAAAGTTCCCGACAGAAATTCATTGTCGATTAAGTCAGTATTTTCTATATATGGAAAGATGACGTGTGACTGTAATTAATATTCATAATAATAAGAATCAAAACTTTTATATGGCCAAACCTTAGTTCAAATATGAGAAAATAATTACTTGCTACCTAAGAATATCTTATCATATTGCCCAAGAGTACCTAATCTTGCTGCCCAAGATTATCTTATTCCAAGAAATATCTTAACTTCCTCATCATACTAGCTGACTGACCAGGTCTTCAGGTATATATGTTGTTAGTTTGGCAACTCGACCTAACACTTCTAATGAAGCTTAACTGACATAATTGACTTGCACAACTTGGCACACCCCGGTTTAAGTCGAACCGGGAGAGGTTCGGTCTAGAATCGAGCTTTCCATACTATATTATTCATTAAAGTACTTTATGTTATATGCACTAGAACCATAGTAATACATTTTAACGATTGTTGGGTAGTGCATTCGTTTGACATTTCGAATGAACTTTGAGACTTTTTATGATTTTCAGATTTAGGATGAATCATGTGAAACCTTATGTTTGGAGGTGGGATATAGAGTGAGATTTCGTATATGATTTTTTTTTCTTTTGAAATCTCATTTGAATTAATTATTTTGACTGGCTATTTTTACCTAATTGGTAAGTAGAAAAATAGTAGGAACTACATTGAATAATGCGATAATAATAAATTCAAGAATATTAACTTCCATAATCTCATCGGCTTTTTACTTCGTATAACTCAACCTAAACAAATTTGATTATAATTTAATTCATGGTGATCATGAGTAGAAAGTTCATATTCTTCAATCATTGACAAGCAATTTGTTGGACTATGCTCAACTCAATTATCGTAATATATATAGATTCCAAAATCAATATTGCAATTAAGTAATTGTTTTTTTCCAATATCAGTTTTCAATTTCCAATCAACAATGGGTAGATCTATAGGAAATACATGAACACATAGTTCACAAGCAATGTATTTATCAAACTCAAAGTGAATTCAACCCCGAAAATGTTCCGATGGCATCCACTTTTCGTAGGGATATTGAATAGTTATAGGTAAACGATTCGCGTGCCGGATCATAAAATATTTTAACAAATCATAATCCCAACTAAATTAAATATCTCGAAAATTTTTAAGACTTTTTAAAGTCTGAAATACCTCATATACTTTTAAAATTCTTAAAAGTCTTAGGAATCTAAATTAAATACACTCGGATTTTTTAAATATTACAAAGTCTTTAGAAATTCAAAAGAATAAACTCTTAGGGTGCGTTTGGTAGGCTTGATAGGGAGTGATATCACCTCATTTCATATTATTTTCTTCCTATTATTATGTTTGGTACAAACACGAAAAGCCCTTAAAAAAGGTAATGGACCAATATTTAATCAAACAATTTCATGATACCATATCCCACCTCCTAGTGGAATGTGTAATTCATCATTTCATCTCTATTTTTTATAATTTTCGATCTGAAAGTCAAATTGCGATGAAAATTGGGAGGGGCGATGGATTGGGTTTGAAGTTGGGTGGCTTTGCACAGAAAATTGTTTTGGGAGGGGCGGAGGTGGAGTTGAAGTTGGATGGCTTTTGCACAGGAAATTTGGTGCAGGGCGAGGTGGGGGATTGGGGCTGGGGTTGGAGGAATCGAGACCAGAGTTGGGTGGATTTTCATAGTGAAAGCCGTCGGCGACAGAGGTCGATGACAGAGGTAGCGACAACAACGGTCGGCAGCATAGTGCAATGGAGATGATGATTGATATAGCCCTGCTTGTGAACCGGAGTCAAATATGAAGAGGTCAAGCTGAGGAGACTAAGTAGAGGTCTCTATGACTATGAGGAGGACCTGCTAGAGGTCATATCGATTTGACAAAGGAGGAGCATGTTAGATATGCTGTAAAAGTTTGGCTTTAAGATATTAATAATCCCATTTTGATCTGACAATCATGTTTTAGTCAAAGTATTTATGTTTGCTGTTTATTTATTTATGCAATCATAACTCCATTATTCTACACTGTAGATAATATGGTTTGCCGTGTCGAACAAAAAGATCATATTATCGGTTCCTTGTAAAATATAAATTTATGGATCACAGTTTAGACAAACAGTGAGACCCCTGTTGGAAAAAGACTGTAGTTTAGTCTTGATTCAGTTGATCATTAACTGATGGATTACACTAGTACTTATGATAAGTATTGAATGGACCGCGGAAGGATAAGATTATAGATTTACTGATCGTTGTTATAATCTAGACCTTCAGTGATTGATGCGTTCTCTTAAGCTGTAAGATAATATAAAATGGGCATATATATTTATTACTTATTTATTTGATTTGGCAATGGTGATTCCTATTCTGTTAGGATGACATACTTGCTATTTTGGTAAGTAAGAATATTTATATAGTGTGCCATTAGAAATTATTTACAATCACTATGTCCCAGTGCGCTGGGTTGATGACGTCCCCGAAATGAGCTCAGGAAGGAATATTATGTCAAACCTTGCATGTGGATAATTATTCGGCATAATTATTAACGAACTGAGTGGTACTAATTTCGGAAATGAAGAAGTCAATTTAATTTAATTGTCAGTAATTAATTTAATTGACGGATGTTATATCTTAAACATGGATAGGTAATTCGGTCAATTAGATTAATTAATTGATTTATTAATTAATCATTTGGAGGCTTGATTTATGAATAAATTGGAGCTAAATGGGGAGAGCAATAATATTACTCTAATGGAAATATTTTATTATTTAATTCTATTTAGATTAAGGAATTAATTTTATTCCATAATTAATATTTCATTAGGAGAGAAATATTCCTTCCAGAATATTACCTAGGGTTAGGAGACTAAAGAGTCTTCTAGAAGGTGATGATTAGGAGAAGGAGTTCTATCCTAGGTTAGGAAAGTATATGGAATGGATTAAGATTCCTTAACCTAATGGGATAAGCTCATATTTAGCGCCTCCTTAAGGTCCCTAATGTAGTTTATAAATATACCATGTCTTGGACTCTCCCCACACAATTCCACACGCCTACGACTAGGGTTCCTAAGGGAAGAAGGAATCTTTGTGTGTGCTATTTATTGAGAGTTTTGAGAGATCCGAAAACTTGGCCACAAATATTTTTTGGAGTAGGTGTTTGGAACATACATTAGAAGATCTTAAGGTTAGATAGATCAAACCCATAGATTTCCTATTTTCCGGCCAAGCACCGCCGCCAACCGCCGTCCTCCACCGTCGAAAATCGTTGCCGCCGCACGAAGACACCGGAAGTCGCACGCGCTCAGCCAGCACGCAGCCGCGAGCCCGAGCCCGCAGCCGCACGCCAGCCAAATGCCGGCGCTAGTTCTAGCGATGCCCAGACGTCGGCCCTATTCATCGCGAGCCCCAGCGACGCTGTAATATCCCTCTCAGTTATTATGATGTATCAGTTATTGTTCCAAGGATTAAGTAATTTCGAGGCCAAGATAGTCAGTTATCGGTTCGAAATTAAGAGTTTTTTTTAAGGAAACAAGCCACACGAGTCGTGTGACAAGGCACACGAGTCGTGTGGGAAGAGGAGATGATGAAAGTTAGCCTCGGCTTTTTCACACGAGTCGTGTGACAAGCCACACGGGTCGTGTGGAGCCACACGAGTCGTGTGAGGTCACACGAATCGTGTGACATGTCACACAAGTCGTGTTGCCGACAGTCATGTTTGATCATTGAGAGTCCGATTGTGATCCCAACCAAAGGCCATTTTTTATGATAAAATATGTTGTGATGAGTATACAAGTTAATCATAAAATAGTTTATGATTAAATTAAGTTAATAAGTTTAATTTGTTTATTATGATCATTTCTTCACTCCAGTGTGATGCCTTGCCAATTTATGCCTATAAATAGAGGCCTAAAATTCAGAGTTTTTACACCAAAGTAAAGTACCAAAAGTTATATAAGAGTGTAAGAGAGATAAGTAGTAGAAATTGTGGAGAAGTGAAGAAATTTGAAGTAAAGAATCAAGTTTTAACTCTACCAAGAAGGAGGTAATTTACTTATCTTAAAGTTTCATACTTAAGTTCATGCTTTGATGATAAGTTTACATGTTTATGAGTATGTATATCATGATTTAGAAGTTGAAGTTTATAATTGATACAAAGAGTTAAAGTTGTTAAAGATCAATTAAATGATATATGTACTTCATGTGATAAGATGTTGATTTGCATAAGATTGTCATAAAGATATGAATAAGCTGGAAAAATATGATTTAGATAAGTAATTCTTGTGTAAAAGAGGAGTACATGAGAATAAGAATTAAGTTATTTGAAATAGTATAACTTAAGTTATAGAGATTTGAAGATGAACATGCAAGATGAACTTTATGTTTACTATGACTTTAAATTCTCATAACTTGATGAATATACATGATAAAATTATGAAATTTTGATGATATGTCTAACTATAAGTTGAGATTATGACTGTTAAGTTTAATAATTTAAAGATGAGAAATGAATAAGTTATGAATATGAGAAGGCCTATATGTAAAGATGAGTATATATATGCAAGAATATTCATGATATGTTCAAGTTGTTAAAATGAGATTTTTATGATCAATTCTCATATAAGTGATAAACAAATTGACAAAGTTTTGGTTTAATATGTTGAGTATACAATTTTATAAAAACTGTATTAAGTATGACATATTAATATCATGATTAAATGTTATGATTAAAGATGAGTATGCTTGAGTAAATTTTCACTTTCAAGTTATATAAGTGAAAAATGATTATAAGCAAATATGTAAGATTGGGGTATGATATATGATGAGTTAAGTAATTGATTGAGTAAAAGATCAAGAAAAGTTTAATTTGAGAAAAAGTATGATTATTGAAATTTCTATAAGATTTGGATGAGTTAACCGAAAGAATTGAGAAAATGAGCATCTTATTGAGTATATGAGCATAAGTACTTAGTATATTTGTTTATATATTTTTATGTAGCTTGAAGAGTTTGCTACTCGAGAACAACACTTACGATTTTTCAAAAGACGAAAGGTGGGGACCCAGACTGGGTATTACATTGAGTATAATATTGGTATCATGTCCGAGGTATGTAAAAGTTTAAGTTTATACGCTTGGGATGAGGAGGCATTTAGTTGTCTCAGAGTATATCCTAAGTTCTAATGGAGGCCGTTTGAGTTGCCTTGAGAAGTATCCATTAGATTGTGCACAAGTATCCGATCAGATATCGGCCAGCTGAAGTTTAAGTTACTGGAATAGTTTTAAGTCCAGTTATATACCGGAGATCTTGATATTATATTATTATTGCTGTTTACTTTAGTATGGGTGTTTTCGGGGTACAAGAGGATCAGTACTCACCCCCATTATGTTTTTCAGGTAACAGGGTCAGGCCGGAGGTGTGAGCTCGAAAAGTGGTGGTGGTGGTCGTGCATTTCATTAAGTGGACTTTTATGAAGTATTTGATAAGTTTGTATAATAAATTACGCTTTCAGTTATTTCCGCTACGCACATTGATTATTGAATTTGCATTTTAAATAAATTTATGATTTCAAGTTTTTACCATTTCGAGAAGTATGAATATGTTATAATTAAATGCAAGTTTAAAGAAAATCTGTTTCTTTATGTCTAAAAGAAGTATTAGGCAAAGTTTAAAGATAAATGGATTTTCAACATGATAAGGTTGAGTAGCATCCCGAGTTATTCGCAAAAGATTTTGAAAGAGTTATAAGTATTTTCGAAGTAAAAGTTGCGAAAAAGTTACTCTGATAAGCGGGGTGTTACAGGTGGTATCAGACCTAGAGTTTAAGAGCTCTGTATACTAAAAGTTTAAGTTTGAGAAAGAAACGTTTCAGGAAAACCGACCACACCACACTCACACCTCGCCGACTACCAAATAAGTGTTGTAAAAGTTTTATGAAAGTTTTTATATAAGCAAATTACTAAGTCTATGCTCAATAAGATTCGGATATCCAAATTTTAGTAATCAGAAAAGATGCTCAATCAAAGATGTTAAGTAATATCATATTTATTCCCTATCAAATGTGAGAAAATCAGATTATCGGGTTAATGACTTATCTTGAAATTATTGTTTCATTCTAAATTGTGCTAAAGTTTATTATGGGATTAATAAACCAGATGGCACGAAGGGTGATTCAAAGAGAGATGACATCAGCGGAAGTAGTAGCCCAGTTCCGTGGCTACAGTGCTGAAAAGTTTTCTGGACAAGGGGATCCTCGTCTGGTGGACGAATGGATCCAAGGTCTGGAGACAATATTTGAGATAACTGAGTGCTCGGAGAAACATCGTATTCTCTGTGCTCAGTTGTAAATGACTGGAGATGCTCGTCTCTGGTGGAATTCTTACTGGGGCATGCGTCTTAGTGAGAAGGAGAATCTCACTTGGGGCCAATTCAAAGAGATGCTGAATGATAAGTACTACCCGGACTACTATAAGGCTGAGATGGAACGCCAATTCCTGGCCTTAGTCCAAGGTAATCGCTCGATAGATGAATATGAAAGAGAATTTACTCGGTTGGGATCCTTTGCTACGAATCTGATTGAAACAGAGGCCAAGAAGGCAAGACGTTTTCGAGATGGACTGCTACCTTCGATCCGTCATCATGTAGTCGGACATAATATTCAGACTTATGCTGATATTGTGGCCAAGGCTCATGAGATCGAGGCTAGTTTCAGAAGGGGAGATGCTCAAGTTGTGGTACAGCCATTATCGCAATTCCCAGCAGTACTACCAGCTCCGTTGGTACCAGTTCAAGAAGAGAAGAATGGAAAGAACAAGAGAAAGTGGAAAGGTCACAAGAATGACCGCAAAAATAAGCAGAAAGGAGAAAAGGTTCCAGCCTGTGCCAAATGTGGAAAGCACCACCGAGGAGAATGTCTAGCTGGATAAAATGTATGCTTCCATTGCCGAAAGCCTGGTCATGGCATTAAGTTTTGTCCAGATAGGCAGCAGCAGCAGATTCAAGGGCAACCTCAGCAGATGGGAGGAGGACAACAAGCTCAGGTCTATGCCATTAATCAAGCTGAAACTGAGCAGAATCCAGGTACCATGTCTGGGATGATTATTTTAAATGATATGCCTATTTTTGCATTATTCGACACCGGAGCAACGCATTCATTTGTGTCAAAGAGATGTATAGACGCAATTGGAGTTCAAATTATTAACACTATTGACCCTCTTGAGGTAAGTTTAGCCTCAGGAAGGAAAATAGAGACAAGCTCTAAGGTAGAGAACCTTAGTGTTAATATTGGAGGAAAAATTTTGGCATTAGAGACCTATGTTATCGAAATGAAGGATTTCGATCTCATACTTGGAATGGATTGGTTAACGAATTATCGTGCTGATATTCGTTGCCATGAAAGAGAGGTAATTCTTTATCTTGCAAATTACTTTCTACGGAGCAAAGATGAGAACTCTACCATGTGTGATCTCTATGGCGAAGGCCAGGAAGATTCTACAAAGGGAGGACTGCCAAGGATATTTAGTGAGCATTGTCGAAGATGATTCAAAAGCACAGACACCTCACGATATTCCAATTGTTCGTGAGTTTGTGGATGTGTTTCCGGATCAATTACCAGGAGGACCACCCAACAGACAAGTGGAGTTCACAATCGACCTTGTTCCAGGAGCAACACCAGTGTCAAAGGCACCATATCGGATGGCGCCGAAGGAGTTACAAGAGTTGAAGACTCAAATCCAGGAGTTGTTGAAACTTGGTTTCATCAGACCAAGTGTTTCACCTTGGGGAGCACCTGTTCTGTTCGTCAAGAAGAAGGATGGATCCATGAGGATGTGTATCGATTATCGGGATTTGAACCGATTAACGATAAAGAATAAATATCCACTTCCGAGGATAGATGATTTATTCGATCAGTTGAGAGGAGTTTGCGTATTTTCAAAGATAGATTTACGCTCAGGCTATCATCAACTGAAGATTAAAGAATCTGACGTAGCCAAGACTGCGTTTCGAACAAGATATGGTCATTACGAGTTTGTGGTTATGCCATTTGGAGTAAGTAATGCACCAACGGTGTTCATGGATTTGATGAATCGAGTATTCCATCAGTATTTAGATCAATTTGTTATTGTCTTTATTGACGATATTTTGATCTATTCCAAGAGTATGGAAGAGCATGAGCAACATCTAAGGGTAGTTCTCGGTGTCCTTAGA